TCAAGAATAACAAAACTCTAGATGATCTGGAAAACCATTCAGTGAACTGTAACTTGCAATTTCAAGTGTTCCCTGAGAAAGTGGAACATAATGTCTTATTCCAGTGGCTTCAGATGCAGCACTTGATAGAGAGAGCTCACAGAATTTTACTATCTGATGTAGGAAGCTTTGATGCTTGAAAACTTATGCCCTGGAAATCTTGTCAGTCTTTAGGGTACCACTGGGCTCAGATCTTGCTATTCTACTGCAAACCAACACAGCTACCTGCCTGAAGGAATCCTACACTGTAATATTTCAAAATATCAGACAAACCATATCCAGGCCATGATAGATATCTCTCCCTTATTATAAAAGAGTTTTGGGTGCCAGAATTCTAAAATTGGCCCCTTTAGTGTTAGGCCGAAAAAAACTGCCACTCGGAAGACACTGGCTGGGTTCATTGGCTGCTTTGTGCAGTCCCGGCCAGCGTTCCAAGGTCATTTACATATGGAAGCTGATTGGACTACACTCCATTCCACAGCTCAAACTCACCCCCCCCCAAGGCAGTTGGAATTTTCAGTTGGGAGAGGAGAATGATGTCAGCTGCTCCCTAGGCAGAGGCTGTGTGTGTGTGTGTGGGGGGGGTTGTAAAGACAGACAGGCAGATAAACGTTGGCTGATGGTTGCCAACTCCAGGTTCGAACTCCAGGACATAGGGTTGCCAACTCCAGGTTGGAAACTTCCAGGATATTTTAGGGATGAAGCCTGCTGAGGGTGGGATCTGAGGAGGAGGAGGAAGAGGGGGACCTCAGACAGATACAATGCCATGCTGCCCACACTCCAGACAAGCTGTTGCCAGTCTCCAGGTGACAGCTGGAGAGATCTTAAAGCTTTGGTGCTACTTCAAAGTTCCCCAGGAGCCCAAAACAGAGTAGTGTTTTGGAAAATCTTGAGGAATTGTTTGGTTTCATTCAATGATACCTAGTTTGCAAACCACAATCCAAAGTAAAATGCTCTGTCTATACCATAAATATTTATAATTCATAGATTTATATTAATCTAGGCTCTCCAAAAATAAATAGCAGTGAAATATATGCTGCAGTATTTTGCTGTATTGTGAGACAGCTTTCTACATGCTGTAGTGTTTCCTGTTAGTGGCAATTTGTACTGTAGCAATATGGCAAAACACCAAGGATGATAAAGAGAAGGGAAATGGAAGTTTGAGAAAGGAGGATGCAAGGATGAGAACAAGATGAAAGTAAGAAAAAGGTGGGATGGAGTTGGTTCTCTTTTCTGCAAACCAAGATTTCAAGTCACAATTTAATCTTGGGTTGCCATGAAAGCAGTGAGTTTTCAATTTGTGTATAAGGGGAACAGGGAGGAAGCCTGATGCAACATACAAATCTAGGATCCCCCAAACTAACTTGTTATTACATCTGATACTAAACTAATGCTTGAAAATAATGCTGCTGTTGTTTAATTCTCTTCAGCTAGAAGATGAAATCTCAACTTTACGACAAGTGTTAGTAGCCAAAGAGAAGCATCTTGTGGAAATAAAACAAAAACTTGGTATCAACTTGATGAATGAACTGAAACAGAACTTTAGCAAAAGCTGGCATGATGTGCAAACCACCACTGCGTGAGTACAAACTACCCACACAATCGTTCTTTACTTTTGTGTAGCACTAAGTGTTTCTTTCACAAATCTTTAGAAATTTAGTGGGGTTCAGTGGTTTGACTGCTAAACACATATAACAAAAAACATAAAGTGAGTTTTAATTGATTTATATTCACATGTGAATTATCTCAGAATGAGTGAGTTATATTAAAATCAAAAGATAAGGAACTACTAACAGCCATCAGTGAGCTTCATGGTTCAACAGCTCTCGGAATCAATTCTCCCATTACTACTGGCTACTAGTATGGTATGGCCGAGATTGGGGGGGCAAGGCGGGCGACAGAAGGCCGATGCCTCCGTCGCCCGGCCCTCTACAGAATCCACCCCCCAAACCTCCAGGTATTTCCCTCCTTAGAGCTGGCAACCCTACATTCCCCTCAGTGCCTGTTGGTAGGCAACTAAGCTTGGTCCTGTCACCTACTTTGGCCTTTGGGAGAAAACACATTGGGGCCAATCCTGATAGGGTTGCCAACTCCAGATGGGAAATTCCTGGAGACTTGAGGGATGGAGCCTGAAGAGGGTGAGGTTTGAGGAGGGGTGGGACCTCAGACAGGTACACTGCCATAGACTCCACCCTCCAAACCAGTCAGTCTCACATAGGGAACCATTGTTGCCAATCTCCAGGTGAGGGCTGGAGAGCACTCAGTATTACAACTGCTCTGCAGAAGGGAGGGCAGAAGTCAGCTGAAGTCAAAGGGGCAGATAATGGTAGGTTGGTGGCTAGCTGGGAAGGAGATGGGGTTGCCAACTACATGCTGACAAATTCCTGGGGATTTGAGGGGTGGAGCCTGGAGAGGGTGGGGTTTGCAGAGGGGTGGGACCTCAGACAGGTAGAATGCCATAGACTCCACCCTCCAAACCAGCCATTTTGTCCTGGATAACAATTGTTGCCAATCTCCAGGTGAGGGCTACAGATTACTCACAATTACAACTGCTCTTCAGGTAGCAGAGATCAGTTCCTCTGGAGAAAACAGTGGACTCTGTCATTATACCCTGCTGAGGTCACCACAGCAAATTGACACTGTTTGCCCAAAGCCAGAGAACTGCCCCAGAGCCTCTTTCTAGATCCCGTTGTATTGCTTTCACAACGGGCTTTACTGCTAGTATTCATATATTTCCTTATCAAAGACAATATAGAGCCATAAACATATGTGAAGTTGCCATATGCTGAGTCACACCATTTGTCTATCATGGTTAGCATTGCCGACCCTGACTGGTAGAAGTCCTCCAGGGTGTCAGGTAGAGTATTTTCACATCACCTACAACTGGATCCTTCTTTTGAGATGCTGGGGACTGAACTTGGGGCCTTTTTCGTGCAAAGCAGATGCTCTGTCACTGAGCTAAACCCTTCCCCTAGGACTATCTAGGGGTGGCTCATATGATATGCTGCACCTACATATAGTAGGAAGTGGGAGGAGGTAGGAAGTGTACCTTTGGACAGATTAATTTGGTATACATGGTTAAAATTCTGTATTAAATGCAGCAAGCCAGCCATGCATACCAAGCCTATATAGACACCAAAACATTGGAGGTGGGGCTGAAATGCCAGGTGGTATGGAGAAGGAAGGCATGTCTCACTTCCTCCCATTTACCACCATATGTACAGCCAGTAAATTCCTAATGATCTAGCCCGTATCTGGTTTTCCCCTGTTTTTGATTGATTTTCCTCTTTTTCTGTTATGTTACTTCGCTTTTGTTGCATTATAGAACTACGGATGACTGAGATTGTGTATTAAAAGGCTGACAATTTTTAATGTCTTTAATAGGAAGGAACTTGTGCAGGGTTAGAATTGTGAGTACAGTGGGGAAGAATAAATGTATATATGGAACTGTTCTAAATAACATTGTATTGACTGACATGTTTGCATTAGAATTATATTAATTTTAAAAGCATGTTAGGAATTGCCAAATTGAAAGATTCTTTAACAGGATATATCATTGGAGAGCTTTAAGGAAAAGGAGACTGTTTATAGGTTTTAATGAGAACTTTGCAAGGGAATATCTGCATGGAAATTCTCCATGTTAAAATGGGAAGTAGTGCACATGAACTGAGATATACATGAGTTTTGAATAATTGGGATTATATAGATGTCCAAATCTAGAAGCATTACATAAACAATCCTAATATATTGCTAAGTGCTTAATTATTTGAGTTTGTATCCAAACCACTGGTTTATACTAATTTCAGGTGCTAATATTTTTCGAAGTATTTAATTATTTGGGTTTCAATCCAAACCACTGGTTTATACTAATTTCAAGTGAAATTCACCCTGGCATTCAAAATTTGCTTTTTACAAACTGTGTGTTTTACATAAAATTCGATTTAGGGGACTATTCAGTAGGTAGACTGAACTGTTTTCATTCAGCAGTCTCATGATGCAAATATTAATTTTGGTATCAAAGACCTATTTGTTTGTTGTGCTACTATTGTTATTGCTACTGGTTTAATATTTTATGGTTGCTGCTGCTTTAATAGTTTATGTTGTGGTGGTTTTACTGGCTAACGATGTTTTTACTGTATACTGATACTATTTTATGATTCTAAGCTATACTTGGTGCTCCTTTTTTAAAAGTGGAAAGGCTGTGAATGCATTAAAATCAATAATATTCCTTGATTTCCAAGAATCTACTTTTACAAATTCATATCTGCCAGTGTAAATTGCCCAAGATTTCAGTTTTTCAATTTTTTTTAGGATGTTCCCTACTGCGTTAGATGAAAGAACTGTATTACAAAAGTGTGTACTGTACTGATGGATACTATAGCCATTTGATGCTTATTTTTCCCATTTCAAAGACTCAGTGATCTAGGATCGTAATAATAAAAGTGACTGATGGATTGACATTGCCGAGGGTCCAATTCCCTGTCACTGTAATCCTTTCATTGCAGTTCATGGACTGACACTGATTTAAAACAGCTGGCAATCTGGATCCCAAATTTCATTCTTTGTTGTAGCTATCACGCCTGGGATTTCAGAGATTCCTTGGGGATCATGGAGGATTCCTGCTATTCTTTAATTCCCTATGTCATTGGAGACTTTAACTGACACGTTTTTAAAATCAATACAATTTCATGCTACTCTAAAGGGAGAAACTTGAGAATGTCATAGGGTAGGGGGATTGTACACTGAAAAATTTCCTTAATTATGAAATGCTGACTCTATGCATTTATAACCTGAGGCTACTCATATGCTTTGTGTGAAAGTAAACTTGAGTTGACTTCTTTGCAAGTTTTTCATATTATAATAATGATAGAAGGAATGTTTTGTAAAAATGAATTAGCATTCTGAACCCCTATAGATTATCAGTGATTAATCTTTACTTTCTTCCCCCTTTATTTTTTTAGGTGCTTCAAGAATGTATTCCCTCTCTAATTAGTCACCTAAGAGATCCCAGTAATAATGACATCATCCTAAATATACTGATAGAAATATCAGGCTATGCACCAGAAGTACTGGCCAATTTGCTTCCTATACTGAAAGAGATTGGAGATAGTTTCCCAAGTCTGATTGGACAAACAGCAAAGCTCTACGGAGCCGTTGGACTCATTGATGAGGTATGGAAACTGTCATGTGCTGAGAATAATTATTTATTATCATATAATGTGCCTGGACAGCAGTCCTACCATAAAGGTTCTCCCTTCAGTAGCCACAGGAACAACAGTACAAGTGACATCCACTTTGAACAGCTCCTAAAGGTAAACGTGGTTTTTACAACTGTGCAAAGAGCTTGTTGCAACAGCTCTTGAATTGCACTTGAAAGGAGAAATCAAGGGTGGGGGAGACAACATGGTTTAGTGCTTAGAATACTGGGCTGTGATTGTGAGACATGGGTTCAAATCTCTGTTTGCCATGAAACCTCTTGGGTGACCTGGGGCCAGTCATTCTTTCTCAGCCTAACTCAAGGCTGTTGTTGTGAGGATAAAAATGGAGGAGGAGAGTCAGTGCACAGGATCATATGGAAGGAGATAGTCCTTCAAATATGTGAATCCCAGGGCATGAGGGGCTTTAAAGGTCATAATGAGCCCTTTGAGTTGTACTTGGAAGCAGACTGGCAGCCAATGCAGCTGTTTCAAAATGGGCAACGTATGTTCCTAGTGGCTAGACGCTGACAATAGTTGGGCTGCTACATTCTGGACCAATTGTAGCTTCTGGGTTGTCTTCAAGGGCAGCCCTGTGTAGAGCACATTGCAGTAATCCAACCATGAGGTTACATAAGCATGGATCACCGTGGCCAGATTGGGTCAGTCTAGGTAACAAGGCAGAGTCCATGGGCACCCCAAGCTGTTAACCTGCTCTGAAAAAGCCAATATCACTCCATCTAGGTCAAGTGGATTCAGTCCCTCTAGAATTGCAGCCTTTTCATACAGCATTTGGAAACAGTCTTGTCTGGATTTAGCTTCAGCTTGTGTGCCTTAGTCATCTTGCCACTGCCTCAAAGCACAGTTCAGAACCAAAATAGACACATCTGGAGGCTTGGATAATGAAATATGGAGCTTGACACCCAACCCCAAAGCTCTGGGCAATCTCATTCTGCGGCCACACACACATACACAAGCATAGATGAGAGAATAGAACCTCATCCTTCACCTTACAGAACCAAAAAACAACACAATAAAAGCAAGTATGTTGTATCCAATAAGCATAGCAATAAAACCAGATTACACAGAGAAATAGTGAAATAAAAATAGTGTAATACATCCCATAAACAATGAAACAGGAGTGGGAGAAAGAAAGATAACTCTACTTACACTTTTTCACAATATTTATACTTCACCTTTCAAACGTGGACTTAAGGCTGATTAAATAGATTGAGTCAATACAATTGATAGGATGGGACATTCAGTAAACAAGGCAATAGGAACCAGAGTTGCAGGACCAACCAGAAATCTAAAAACAGAACTGAAACAAAGCATCAATATTAATATGACGCATTCAATAATGCAAAAATTACATGAAATAGTAGATTTTTTTTCTGTAGAGCAATTTACTGAACGTAGGCCTGTCCTTGGTGAAATGCCACATACGAAGAATGCTGAAGGCATGACAACCCTGTCCTCTAATGTGAAATCCTACTGATAGCTAGGGATTTAAAATATCCTTTGTGTGATAGTTATCCACCCATTTTCAACACATGTAAGCTGTGCCCATCGGTGGGTATAAAAGCTTGCCTGTGATGAGTGTATGATCGTTTAACTAGAGTGTGAAAATTCCATCTAGATGGAATACCACACTGCTGTGCATAAGAATTCATGTTATGGGGCCGTTTCACAGTCTGCTTGGGAACAGATTAAAGTGATTTGCATTCCATCCTCAGACAGCAAAATGCTGTGTTGCACATTCATGTAGAGTTCTCTGGAGTATCCTAATCAAGGCATTTCAGGAAGCAGCCATGACCCAGGGCTGACCTGCTTTGGGGGAAGTGCAATATACTTATTGCTATACTGTGCTTTTCCTGGCACAGGTCATCTGTGAGCCAGAACTGTGAGATTTATGTAACACTCTGAGCGGGATTTTTATGTAAATGCCTGCTATGGCATTTATTAGTCAGGAACTTTGCAAGTCACTTTAGGCACATGTTGTGCCTAAGACTGTAAAAGCCCTTTCAGCAACCGCTTGTTAGCTGTTAGACTGGAGTAGTTTTACATAGAATTATAATGTAAATTGTGTTAAGACCATTGAAATCCATAAATTTAGACTGGAGGAAATCTTCAGAGGATTGTATTGTTAATCTGCTTCAACCTATGAGGGTTAGGAAATACCTGGAGACTTTGGAGGTGGAGCCTTAGGGTTTGGGGAGGGGAGGGACTTCAATGGAGTATAATGCCATAGAGTCTATCTTCCAAAGCAGCTATTTTTTCCAGGTGATCTCTGTTGCCTGGAGATCAGTTAGAATCCCTGGAGAACTCCAGGGACCACCTGGAGGTTGGCCACCTTACTTCTGTGGATTCTATGAGGGAAAGGTATAAGGAGACGGCGGCCATATTGTTGCAAGCATGGCCTTTGGATACACAAAAGCACCTGTATTTTGTTTAGCTTGATAGAAAAAGGCACTTTCTTAATGGTTTCTAATGGGGGATTGCTATTCCAAAATACTGGATATTTTGGGAACTGAGAGGCAGTGTCTGTAGTGTTTAGGGTTTCTAGGATCTGGGAGACCCAGATTAGAAACCTACCTGGCCATGGAAGCGTGCTAGGCGATCTTGAGCCAGTCACATACTCTCAGCCTAACCTATCTCACGGGCTTGTTGTGAGGATAAAATGGTGGAGAGAATGATGTAAGCTGCTTTGGGGAGAAAGGTAGAGTATAAATGAGGTAAATAAAACAAACCTACCAAGCTGGGTGCTACAGGAAATGGTTCGGCTATTGTTTGTGTTAGACTAGAGAAAGTGAATGAAGTTTGTATTCTGGTATGTAACTGTTTTAGAAGGCTGTTTTATTTGAGGGTGGATGCCTACTCCTTGTCTTGTACATGTATCCAAAGAAAAGGAGATTTTATACCTAAAAAAAATTCATGAGATACTAGGCCATTGATATAGTACGATATCACTTTGAACAATTATTTTAAATGTTACATGATGCTTATCCAGATACCTTTTCATCTTTTCATCACTGCCATCTTTTCCCTATTCTAGTTACTAAAAATGTCCAAGGCTTTCCTGATAATGTCAATATCTGTCTTCTGTCTTGCCATTTGCCCACTGAGGACAGGGAATCCCGTGCCACCACCCCCAAACCTCCATCCTCGATTATTTGTGGAGCAGGAGAAAAAAATGGCAGGGGGAAATAGCATTGATGGTGACACTTTAGAAATGTTCCCAGTATCTGTGGTCTTGGGGTAATTCCTAGAGGATCACTTGGAAGTGCTGTCACATCCTCCAAATCTCCACATGGAAGTAATGTCACATCCTTTGTGGTACTCTAGGAATTTCACTAGTCTCAATGGTGTTTACCATAGAGTTTGGGGAAATTCCTAGAGTGTCAAAGAGAATGTGACATCAGAGCTCTTGAACCACCACTGTTCTGGTCAATACCCAAAAATATCCTGGAATTTGCCAGTGCAGGGCTGGCAACCCTCAATCCTAACTGATGCCTATAACAATCAGACTACATTATACAAAAGTCTACTGCAGCAGGTCATGACCATGCTTTTGCAGACTAATTTCAACTTTTCATGGAGATTGAAGCCCTGCAAAACCAGTTCTAGCACAGAGAATAAAGCAGTGCACAAAATAAAGGGATGCACACAGTGTAGGCAGTGGTAGCTGTACAATATGGCATCCACCTCTCTCAGTTGTATGCATGGCCTAATCCAGAGTTCTGAGAGTACAGCAATAACATTTCACTTTCCCCCCTCACCCTGGTTGGGTAGGATAGACATATGAAGCTGCCTTAGACTAATTTTGGTCCATATAGACCAGTACTGTGTACTCTGACTTGTATCCACTCTTTAAGGTTAGGTCACTGTATACAGAGTTCTTTCTTAGCCCTGCAGTGAAGATTCTTTACCTGTAGATGCTGAAGCCTGACTGTAGATCTTTATGCATGCTAAACACGATAAAAGGAATTAATGACACTAAAACCATGAATCTGGTTATTTGAGTCCCCTTTCCCTGCCAGAATGAGATATAGAATGGGGTTGGCAGGGCTGTAGATAAGTTTGCTATGATGTCCTGTCCACTTCCCTCCTTCAGAGGCAAGATTTTCCCTGTTTTTCTTTCCCTTCTGTGACTGAGTCACCCTAGTTATCTGTTTTCTTCTTTCCTGAAGGATTCTGGCTGTCCCACCATGTCACAGTAACCTGAGGGAACCTGAGGGAAGGAACCTGAGGGAAGAAATGAGAACCCCCTTTAACTTATACAGCTTAAATGGTACTCAAGAAGTTTTTAATATTCCAGATTAACAAAATATTTTATTCAACATATTGGGGAAAAGTCAGGTGAAATCAGGGGTAATATTTCTGAGGTGACTCAATATAGATAATTCTGAGGTAAAATCAGTACATGCACAGACTTTAGTTCTTATGTTTCAGGCTAATGAGAGTTTCTTAAGCTTTTCAGTGACTTAAATCTTTATGTTGAAAGGCTTTTGGTTTCTTGAAGGCTGGTAC